GTTTTTGGGTTGAAAAGTAATGCCCCACTTACGACTTTTACTTTTCTCTCTTTCTCCTGCCCTTTTTTTCCCCTCTCCTTGCCTGAAGTTTCTCCTCACTTGCTGGAAATTTTACTAGGCTTCATTTTGTTGTATAGATTTTTTAGGAAACTACTCATTATTTTCAAACCACATGCTCAGAAAGGTAGGTGGGTAATGGAACAAGATTTTCGTGCAGATTTTCAGGTCAAAGTTACATGGTTTTTTGGCTATTTCTCCAATCTCCTTCACTCAATTGCGCTCATTCTGGTATCGTTTCTAAGATATTTTCAACCTGTTCAAGTAGGTGCTCAAAGTCATGCTCCAGGGTTACTCCAGGATCAGAGTAGAGGAGTAAAATGTCAACTGAGACTTGAGATATTATGGTCTACATCTTCACTGTCCTACCTGAATACCTGTGTGTATTAACAATTAAAATTAGTGAAAAATGTTTTCACATTGGCCTACAATGTTGAAGTTAGTCAGTTTTTCTTAAAGAAGAAAATGGCCTTTACTTCACTTTCCAATACTGTAGTTTTAAAAAGAATATGGCTATGGATCTTGATCGTTACTACCTTTAAAATAAATATTCATGAAAAAATCGGGACCAGAGAAAAAGTCTGGTTAATTGAGAAATCTGGATAATCGAGGTCCAGACAATTGAGGTTCGACTTTAGCTTCAAATGCATTTTCATGGTAAAACAAAGTGTCTTCTGTATAGGGCATTTTTAGATCTCATTTATCCTGGTAAATCAATAGGTGCTGGCAGTGGACAACTCTAATAGAAAGGACATTCCATTTGGACAATGCTAAAGAAAGGTTTGTACATGTCTCCATTGAAGTTTGCTGCCATGTTAACCCTACTGACTCCCAAAGTCTCTGCAGTGATTCTCCTTACTGTCTGCCACATATTTCTTATAATGTTAGTTTGGAGAATTTGGTATTGGATCAACTAATAATCCTTGTTTGCTTGATATTTTTTAGTTTAGAGGAGGGACTCTTTAACCCTTTATTCCCTAACATCAGTTTACATATTCCCTATACTGTTCTTTATAAATTTCCTATGGTACTGAGAATGAGAATTTGTCCAATGATCAGGAGCTCCTTAAGGTGGTGATCATGTCCTTTTTAAAAATTATTCTCTTGACTTTTAATTAGTGTTTGGTTCAGCAATGATAATATATGGAGAAACTATATGCTAATTACAAGGCTGTGCTCTAAGAAAAACTAAAGGGAGCCCAGTGCCCTGAAACTTTGAAATACAGGGTGCCCAGCATATGTTTTTATATAAAAAAAAACTAAAATTCCCAAGTTGCCCAAGAGAAGAAGTAAGGTGTTGGGGGCCATCAGGCGCTGCTAGACCACACCCTGAATTATGCATAGGGTTAAGAAACTCAAAGCTCAAAGCAAAGGTGTGGGGTGGAGCTTATTTCAGCAATTGCAATTCTCTCTTACCCTGCTTTAAGATAAGCTTTGAAAAGCACCATTGAGCAAAGAGATAATGGCTTGTTTGATCTCATTTCTTTATCTGTTTTTTTCCCCAAGGGAAGAGTGGATAACTGCAATTCAAGAAGTTGCTGAGAAGCTGCATGAAAATGAAAAAGACAGTGACAAGTCAAATGAAATTACTATAGGGGGTGAAGGAAGTCAAAAAATGGTATGTGGTGAATACTTTTTCTAATAACAGGACTTATTATATGGCTATGTCTCACAAGGACTGGGAACTACCAATTCATGAATTTGATTGGCTGAAATCAATATTGAAAGCAGTCTAGATTTTCCCATCCAGACCGGAATCTAGACCTGTCTAGAAAAAAAGGTACAAAGAATATAAAAAATTAATTGGCACATAAGACACAGCCATATAATAGACATGAATAAAGGCTGATAGTTTCGAAAGAAACTGTTTGGGGCTGTGTCGGTGGGAGTAACGAAATAATTTGGATATATCAACAAAGTTGAAATGGTAAATTGGCCACCGTAACGATTACAAAAGCTGACGTTTTGAGCATTAGCCCTTCGTCGTTAGCCCTTCGTCTTATTAACTGAGCTAGGTCGGTCTGTATGGGAGAATCTTGACCTCGGTCACTGGTACACTGACCTCACTGTGTTTGGTCTGTACTGGTGACCTCGGTCAAGATTCTCCCATACAGACCTCCCACTTGGTTAATAAGAACTAAATATCTTGTGTCAAACCCTCAAACTACCCTTTAGACCCTTACATCAATATCCATATTCTCCATACCTATCTCTATACATTTCTTTCTGTACTGACAAGGAGAATTTAACAATCAATTTGAATACTTCTTAGGTTGGCAGTTAATTCCTTTATTTGCATGATCTTAATGAATGATTTAGAAATTAGATGCTGGTCACTCCCATGATTTTAAAGGATAATAAAGGTGTATTTACTTTTAATGATTTGTTTTAATTTCCTTTTTTCTTTCTTTTATTTTCCATTCTTTTATTTTTCATTCTTTTATTTTCCATTCTTTTATTTTCCATTTAGACTATAGAGGACTTCCAGTTGCTTAAGGTGTTGGGAAAGGGAACATTTGGCAAGGTTATAATGGCAAAGATGAAGAGGACTGGGGAAGTGGTAGCACTCAAGATTTTAAAGAAAGAAGTTATTGTTGCCAAAGTATGGAGTTATTTTATTTATTTATTCCTTTATTTCAGTGCTTTTAATAAGATTTGAAATAGGTGGCTACCTCGGTACAGCACCCGCTGGAGAGTGACTTGAGTGTGGCGACCGCAACTTGAGCACAGTGAAATATGCCCGGCGACTAACAACAGAATACCCACTGGAACTCTGGAGGGTTCCGGGTCTTATTGAAAGCACTGTTATCATGATATCCAGATTTCCAAAAAAGTCAGCTTTTTACCTTTTTATTTGATATTTTTTGGGCACAAACTATTTTATGTAGTTGTGTACGTAGTTGCTAAACCTTTGATTTGGAGTGAGGCTGAAGGTGACCTTAAGCTTGTTGTGATAGAGACAAGTATCTAGTCAGCATAATAACAAAGTAATTTGCATTTGATGGGCAGCAACATTTTTCTCATAACAAGGTCACCCTGTTCAAAGGCTTGGCAACCAAGCACCGTAAAATGGACTATTTGCAAAATATATTAAAATCTAAAACTGCTAACTTTTCATGGTAGCTTCAGTTTGTAGAAAACTACAGAATATTTTGAGTAATACAAGCCGGTTAATTTGTTTTGCCAGCAACAAAACAAAAGCAATCAGGATTTATGTTTTTAATTATAAATACATGACCCCACAAGCTTGTAGCTTTAAATTTTTATCTTTTGTTTAAATAAAGGTCAACCATCCATCCATCCATCCATGGCAAAGCATGAGGAAGATAACCTTTTCACTCCTAAGATCTCATTCATAATTCACCTTACTGTCTGCTATAAATTCTTATGATGTTAATTTGGAGAATTTAGTATTTGATCTACCGAAAATCCCCTCATTGATATTTTTCTTAATTCTCTTCACTTGTCTGCTTGATATTGTGTTGATACAGTAAGGAGAAATTCTGTCTTGGTTACTGGTGTGAGTGAAAGGGTCAAGACATGGATGGCAAATGAGCTAGAATTAATTAGAATTGAGCATAATATTTCACAGACTTTTGGTCAGCTTTTGGACAGATTTGTGAATCTTAAGACAGATCTTAAGACAGCTGAAACCTTATGTCTTGAATAATATTGTCTTTTACAGGATGAAGTTGCGCATACATTGACAGAAAACAGAGTGTTGAAGTCAACAGTCCACCCTTTTCTTACAGTAAGTTTACACTCTGTTAAACCCTTTTCACTGTAACATCAGTGTCGATATTCTCTATGCTCTTCTCTATATAATTATTTCCTTAGGCACTGGCAAAGAAATTTGTTTAAAGTGTTCCTGGGATCAAAAGTTTTGTACATCTTTTTTTCATTTTCATGTTCAGTGTGTATCCTTCACCTACCCTGCCAAATGTCAATCTAGTCCAAGCACCAGAAGCTTTTTTTTTTTTTGGGCCATTAAATTCACGATTTCACGTCCACCATTATTTCACCAGCTTTGTGGGTTGACAGTCATTTCCTTAATATTCTGGCAACCTTTATGTGTGATTCAGGGGTGATATTGAGGGAGAAATTAGATGCTAGTCACTCTTAGAAGTTAAAGGGAATAAGTTACCAAAACTTAAGTCTAGAAAGCTTCTAATATCGAGCAACAGAACTGTTTGCAGACTCCCAATAAGAGAAATGATGAATATGACAACTCCATTTAAAGTCATGTGTTCTATTTCTTCAATGACTTGTTCAACAGGAATTACGTTGCTCTTTCCAAACAAAAAACAGATTAATATTTGTTATGGAATATGTGAATGGGGGCGAGGTGAGTGTACTACACCCTAAGATCATTATGAATATTCTCTGCACTGTGCCCTAGACATTTCAACAGTAATGACAAAGAGAATTTCTTCAACGATCAAATGAAGCTTTTTCAGTTGGAGATCATGTCCTTTCCTTCCTTTCTCATATTTGTTTCGTTCTAACATGAAATTAATGCGTAATATTATTATGCGACATGATGTGACAATGCCTTATTAAGTAACTGATTGATAAGATCGTTGAAGTTAAAGGATCCCTTCCAACCACAATACATTGCGCGCGCGATATGTGAAATCCGCCATTTTCTCTGCCATCTGGTATTGGACAAGTCGTGAAGTGGAAAGAAATCCTCGTTCATCCGAGTACATTTGCCTCACTGAGGTCTTGAATTTCCTCAATCGCGTTCCAAATTTATTGTTCTTTCTATTTGACTAGTTATTTCTTAATTATTTTTTCTGTTTGGGCGCGCAGGGTATTGTGGTTGGAAGGGATCCTTTAATACTACTAGTCGCAAATTTTAGAGACCCCAATGGATTTCGAATACTTTCCTGTGAATAAGATGACTGAATAATTTGTGAAATTTTTGGAACCTTGGCGATTGTTGCGACTAGCAGTACAAGTATTTCTTACGTTAATATTTGATTCAGAAGTGATACTGTCAGAGGAAATAAGATGCTTTATAGTCACTCTTAGCTGTCAAAGGGTTTAATAATTTCCTTTTATGGACAGACCTATAAAGGTGCTTTACAAATAGCAAGCGTAGCCTATAAATGTCAAGTAGAGACTAGAAATAAATGTAAAAATATGTCTTCCAAATAAATTTACTCTGTAATCTTTGGGGTTCAAGATGACATAACATGCTATGTTACATGAGAAGTTACCTGTCATTCACTTCTTGTCCAGGAAAAAACTGGTTGAATTCTGGTTTTCTCCATAGCTGTTTTTCCACTTGTCTAAAGAACGCGTCTTCTCAGAGGACCGTTCAAGGTTTTATGCAGCAGAAATTATTCTGGCTGTCAAGTATCTTCATGACAACAAAGTGGTTTACAGAGATCTTAAGGTATTATGCATAATCCTTTTTATGATACTATCTTGGCCCACTATCTAATTGCTGCACTGATTTTTAGCATCACTTTAAATCTATTAACTATCTTTTATTTTTCACAGCTTGAAAATCTTCTTTTAGATTCAGATGGTCACATTAAACTCACTGACTTTGGTCTCTGTAAAGAGGACATCACATATGGAGCTACCACGAAGACATTCTGTGGTACTCCTGAATACCTCGCTCCAGAGGTCAGTTTTATAGGAAAATTCATTACCCAATGAGAGAATACCATGTTAAATTGTACACAATAAAACGGATATTGCATGACAGTTTTGACGGTTTTCGATTTGCACAAACTCTTTACAACTATTATTTCAGTCAAAACAAATGGTTTACCCAGGACCCTTAGTCTGGAAAATGAATTACAGTTTTGATGAAATCTGAGAAAAGAATTGAATTTTGTGCACCAAGATTTGCTCAATTAAACCCTGCTAAAATCAACTTTCACCAGTAAGATTTACACCTCAGCTCAGTTAATTGAAATGTCATATTTGATGATTTTTGTGTAATCATAAAAGGTACTGGAAGACAATGATTATGGCCGTGCTGTGGATTGGTGGGGAGTGGGCGTTGTCATGTATGAAATGATGTGTGGCCGTCTGCCATTTTACAACAGGGATCATGAAGTTCTCTTTGAACTTATCCTGACGGTATGAATTTGGATGTGGATTTTTAATAAGACTGATCAAATATTTAGCAAGTTCGAAGATATAATTTTGAAAGGCTGAGTTACTTTGTAGAGACTCAAAATGCAGTCTTGTCATTTACTTTTCAATGGCAGTGGTAAAGATCAATTGGTTTCTGAACGTGCATGTACTTTCTCTGCAAGTCTGTTGAGAACTTTTTATAGTCAAAAGCTATGTTGTGTATAATTTTAAAAGGTCTGTTTTCTGTTAACAGGAGGAGGTAAAGTTTCCAACAAGACTTACCGATAATGCAAGAAGTGTCCTCTCTGGGCTCCTAGAAAAAAGGCCCACAAAACGGTAAGAGCAATTATAATCATAATCACAAGCCTACTGTTGCAACCACCTCCCGGTTAGCTCAATGGATAGAGCGCTGGACTGTTGTGCGGGAGGCCGAGGGTTTGAGCCCCGGCCGGACCAACACTCAAGGTCTTAAAATAATTGAGAAGAATTTGCTACCTTTCTATAACATCAAGAAATGGTTAGATATTCTAGTCTTCTCGGATAGGGATGAATAAATGGAGGTCCCGTCTCCTGCAGGGTTGGGGTTGGAGACATGAATTTCCCACACACGAGATTACTGTGTGATGGATGTCCTCCC